CTGGCAACGGTAACAACGGATCTGGCAACGGTAACAACGGATCTGGCAACGGTAACAACGGATCTGGCAACGGTAACAACGGTTCTGGCAACGGTAACAACGGATCTGGCCCTAATGGCTCTGGCTCTGGCTCTAACGGCTCTGGCTCTGGCTCTGGCTCTAACGGCTCTGGCTCTGGCTCTGGCTCCGGCTCTGGCTCTAATGGTTCCGGCTCTGGCTCTGGTTCTACTGGTTCCGGCTCTGGCTCTAATGGTGCTGTATCTGGCTCCAATGGATCTGGTTCTGGTTCCAATGGATCTGGCTCTGGCCCTAACGGCTCTGGCTCTGGTTCTGGTTCTGGCCCTAACGGCTCTGGCTCTGGTTCTAATGGTTCCGGTTCGGGCTCCGGTTCTGGATCTGCTGCCAATGGTTCCGGTTCGGGCTCAGACTCTGCTAGCACCTCAGCTAGTGCACCAGCCGTCTCTGTTGTTACTTATAATGGTGCCCCACAAACTGATGTTAGTAAGTCCATGATGTTCATTTCCTTAGTTGTTCTGATCTTGGCTTTCAACTTCTAGGTAATTACCCAATTTTCCTTTCATTTCGTTTTATTATATCCCCTTTCTTTCGGTATGGGACTAGAACTTTAGCCCTTACGATATTGATGTTTTCATCATTTCTTCAGCATACACCATATAGTTTAAGTGAATGAAATTATCTTATAATTATGAATGTAGTTTTCATGGTAGTTCGAGTTTTGTTGTCTTCAGGTATGTGAAATGCTGCAAAGATGACTGTTGCAATTCTTGTTTTTCCTGTGATTGAGAATTTGCAGCTTCAGATTGGAGCCCTTTTGTTAGAGTTAATGTAATGCGTGCGTGCTTAGTTTTGCTTAGGGGAAAAAAGGTATGTCTATCTGAGATTCTTGTATTATGTTGTGTTATATTGTGGTACCGGTATGTATATTAGATGTGGTGCTAATATACGTTTACAGTGGTATTGGTTTATAGATTCTACAATTTTCTTACTAGATTGCCAATACTCAGGTTGCAATTTTCGTCCTGGTCTTGATATGATATAAGCAGGTACTTTTAAGTTTCACTTGACCATTTGAAAGTCCTTAGAAGATAGAGTGTCTATCCGATTTGCCTCAAGATAAATGTGACACTGCATCAATTTGAATTTAACTCACGACATACTAAATTCTTTATGTGAGCTGGACACACTGCGTGGCAGACGTTTAACGATTGACTTATGGATAACTGTGTTTAGGTGTGGGTTTTTCTTCAGTTCTTAAAAGTGCCAACCCAGATAGTCTCCACTTCTTTGGTATGGCAAAATTTGCAAAGCCCAGGAAGCATGATATGTGTGAGTTTTTCTCAAATTATGTTTCCAGAGTCTTTCTGATTTGAATTGGATACTAAGAGCGAAGTTGAACGTAAGGTAAGAAAAGATAAATATTTTTTTATCCACGGGTGAGTGATTTTAGCTTAAATCCAAGAGTTCAAACTTATTTATTGAGGGCGTAGGGGGGTAGGCGGGAATGGGGGCGTGGGCTTCGTATATTGCAAACTCATGAACATAGCCTACTATTTCTGCCTCACATGGAAGTACGTTTCTGCATTGCATCAGATATGCGAAAGATAGCTGCAAATAGACGTGGTTAACACATTAAAAATTGATATGAACTGATAGCAGCATGCAATTTAGTGCATGTCATATTATTTTGATGTGCGGAACTCGGAGAGTGTCCCGAGAATTTTAGGGGACAAAACATACATTTACGACCCGACGGTAGTTAGTGCGGTTTAGTCCATGCTCCCGGGGAACAACAAAATATTGCAAGCTGAAGAGATTATTCTTTACTTTTGCCGATTCAAAGCAAATTAGAGCATTTATTCATTTGATTCTTACTGTGGCTAAAAACCATAATATAACCTTTGATTTGATGGATCTGAGATTTTTATGGAAAAGCTGAAAGAAAGTAATACATTTGAATGTTGTATTCTACCTGAATCTTTTGCTAATCGATAACAAAGTATTTTCAACCCATTTTCAAGGGAGCAAAGGATACACATTTGACCCTATAAGTTGGATGAGGGGAAATTTTCTTCCACGATAGGTTCAAACACTTTAGGTCTGTGATTGACCTAAAAAGATCACGTTCTATCATTTGTGTCTGCTTTTCGATTTGCTAATTCAGTCATAATAAATTGCAACTTCCGAGATAACCGACATTGGTGAAGCATGTGGTTCCAGTTTTTGCTCCCGTAAATATGCTAGTAACGGAATCAAGCCCGCCCACGGGTATGTGCCGCCAAAATCAATGGTATGCACACTCGAAGCTCGAAGCTCGAAGCTCGAGGAGAAGGAGGAGGAGGACGAGGAGGACGAGGAGAAGGAGGAGGAGGAGGAGGAGGAGGTGGTGGTGGTGGTGGAGGAGGGCGTTATGAAAACGGAATACAAAAGGTTATGTGTTCAAAACGAAAAGGGCTCTTGATCTACGCTATGACAGGGTTCAAGAGAACAATGCTGCCCCCCCACATTGAAATTGTTGCTCTACAAAAGATATTAAAATTTGGCATTCTTGGTGTGCATTTCTCTTTCAAACATTGGGATTACCACCATCTCTTATTGAGGTGAGGTCAACCTAGAGTACATGTATATGGTGAATATCTTGCGATCTATTGCATATAATAAGCAAGTAAGAAAAAGAAATTTGTGCGCCGTAAATATTATGGCACATAATGCTTTTCGCTGTTAGGTGCACGCGAAAAATAGATTTGATGAAGTGAATTTCTTCTCAAAAACATGCTATTAACACCTTTCCTCCAAAGTGCCTGAGCCCCTGCCGTACAGTTTTAGGCCACACGTAGTCTAATACTTCCCAGTTCTAGACTGCACTAGTTTATTAATTAGTTGTGTTGTGAATCTTTAAGATGTAAATTTCTAATTTTATCTTTTGAGTATTGACGTAAGGATGTTCACTTTAGAAGGCTGATGATGACCAAAATTGTTATATCTCTTATACTAGCTACCAAGGCATAGTATCTATCAACTCTATACTTTTCTAATTTGTTGCGTTTTAATGGATGACCAGCACTATTGCATAGGTCTTTCCGGGGTTTTTGTGGCACTACAACTGCAGAGATTGGAGAAGCGTGGGTTATGAGCGATAGATTTGAATTTTGGATCTGTAAAGGGTGCTGGTTTGCATACCGTAACAAAGGACTGTCGTAAAGATACATGAGAGTTGAGTTCGAAAGCATACAACAATAAACTGTGCTGGCTGTACTGATATCTTCAATCAGGATTCCGATGAAAGGATAAGCCGGATGTTGCATACCCAATCTCCTGTGCCGCTTCGGGCATTGGCCACGACGATAGTTGCGTCACCAAAGGCTCCTATTTTACGACGAGAATAAAATATCGATGAACAGCGAAGAAAAAAAATAAAAAAAGCCACTTTAAATCGCACATCAATAAAAACTAGAACATGTTGACATCCAAAAACCCCTCGAGGATGGTTCGGCAACTCATTAGCCGTGCATGTACTAACCAAGTGATGCACTGGAAATTTCAAGCTCAGGCTGTTGCGTCGCATTTCCAAAAGGGACAACGGAGTTAGAATTGTAGCGATATTTTCCCATACAGAAAATAATGAATCTAGAGCTGTCCGCTGCTTGCATGATTCTTAGCCAATGTCTTCGATGGGCATCTTTAAAAAAGTTTAACATCCTGACATATCACCAGCAATCAGCTACAACCACTGCACTTCACCATGTGGATTGGTAATTACCTTTGGGTATTACTATTGTGGGTGGCTACAGCTGTTGCGACGACTATCACCGAAAACACTATCAGTCGTGGAACATTAAACGTTGATATAGGGGGAATTACCTTGAATCCGGGTGTGTATTGGTCCATCATAAATAATGCCTTAACAACGATAGCCGGATCTCTTAATGTTAGTCAAGGAGGTGGTCTTTATATTTCTTCAACTTCCAACTTAATCGGTTTGACTATTGCTCTTGCCGGTGTGATTAACAGTATTCAGAACGATGGTGTCATTGCATTTAACTCTTTGAGATCATTGACTACTCCTACATTTCAATTGGCTGGTGCTTCCTTTGTCAATAATGGTCAAATGTACTTGGGAGGTGATGGCTCTGTTGGGGTTCCAGTTATGTCGATTACCTCTCTTCTGTGGACCAACAACGGTTTCTTGAGCTTCTACCAAAATACCAGATCAGGAGGTGTTGTCACTCTCGGTGCTGTCCTCCCAATCACAAATAATGGTCAGATTTGTCTCTTCAATCAAGCATATGTCCAAAGCACAGCTGTGACCGGTGTTGGTTGTATCACGGTTGGTCAAACATCAACTCTTTGGATTCAAAACTCGCTCTTATCTTTCGGAAGTGGCCAAACCATCTTGTTGCAGACTCAATCATCCGCCATCAGAATTGAAGCATTAAGTTTGTCACAAACTTTTGAAGTTGCTGGATATGGTAACGGAAACCTCATTGGATTGAGTTTACCACTCAACCTTGATACTATTCTTCTTGACCCGTTCCGTTACGATGCAAGAACTGGTATTTTGACACTTATCAGTGGTGTTTTCACCCAGAACTTCCACATTGGTACCGGTTACGACCCTAGGCTTTTCCAAGTTGTCAACGCCAACTATGGAGGTCTTATCACAACTGTTCTTCGTGGTGGTGTTATCTACAATGGCCCTGTTCCATCCGGCGCCACCCCAGCAGCCAATTGTCGTCAGTGTAGAGCATTCCCAGATGCTCCAGGCGTTTTGGAAACTCCGTCATCATCCCTTCCCTCGTCGTCTACCACCTCAACCCGTACCACGTTGACAACTCCAACAACAACAACCACCACAACGTCAACAACTCCAACGACCACCACAAAGTCAACTACTCCAACAACTCCGACAACTACAACAACACCCACCACAACGTCAACTACTCCAACACCCACCACAACACCCACCACAACACCCACCACTGGACCAACTACACCATCCACAACATCTTCCCCCACAGTAACTTCCACTGCTGTTCGCCCCACCAGTTCCACTATAATTACTAGCAGCAGCACTTCACATGGACCTTCAAGTGTACTGACTTCTTCCAAGACTGCATCGTTTTCTTCCTCCGCACTCTCATCAAATGCTGCAATTTCGTCCAGTGCCCCATCTGCTTCCGCTTCAAGTGCTGCTCCATCTACATCCAGAAATGATCCCTCTGGTTCAGTATCGTTGAGTTACACTCTGAACAGTTCCAGAACGAATACTGCTGGTTCAACTTCACAATCTGCTCCTTCGACTTCAGGAGCTGTCAGTTCCAGCTGGACTTCCGTTGCTGCTTCGTCCATATCTGTTACTCTCAGTTCAAGCTCTAAAACAGGCTCGTCTACCGATGCCACCAGCTTAACTTCCGTTGATGGTTCTTCAAGTATTTTGTTATCGACCACTCATATAACCAGCTCTAGTTCTGGCGCTTCCGCTTCCACGTCCAAAGCTGTTAGTACAACTTCTGATGCTACCAGCCCCACATCGGATATCAATATCAGTTCCGAATCTGCTAGCTCTTCTTCCAATTCTCTCGGCTCCAGTTCCGATACTACTGGCACCGGTTCTGAAGTCGCTAGCTCAACTTCTAATGCAGCTTCCTCCAGTTCAGAAGCTGCTAGTCCCACGTCGGATGGGTTTAGTTCCTCTTCAGAAGCTCCTAGCTCCACCTCGGATACTTCAAGTTCCAGTTTAGACGCTCCAAGCTCTACCTCGGAT